TAATTTTCCATTACCTCTTTTACCTTACATTTCACAGTCCCCTTCTCACTTTATCTGCTCCTCGCATACCTGCCTCTAGTACTTCCTCTATAAACATTTTTGCCCAAATGCATCCTTTTCAATAGGTCTATGCTACTATCTTACTGCAATTTTACCCAATATGACTCTACTGTTTCTATAGAATATGAAAATATGCAACTTTCTAACATATTCCATCATTATTGGTTCCTCCACCTGGAAGAGGATTGACTTCTGTTTGTTCACTGATATTTCCTTATAGTAGGCATTCAATACATGGAAGGATAAAGAATAGAATCCTATAATACAGCTAAGCTATAATAAAGTTAAGATGCTTTCAGAGGAGCTCTTAAAAAATGTTTATTTATTTTTGATAGAGCATGCATGTGGGGGAGGAGCAGAGAGAGGGGAACAGAAGATCTGAAGCAAGCTCTGCCCTGACAATAGCAAACTGAATCCAGGGCTCAAACTCATGAACTATGAGACCATGACCTGAGTTGAAGGTGGACATTGAACTGACTAAGTCACCCAGATGCCCCATTTCTGATGAGCTTTTTGCCTGTCATAAGAAAAAATTAAAATTTGAGTAATGAAAAATAAAAGGAAAGAATACAAGAAAAATGTGGTAATACAAAACTTTTATAAGAGAAAATAAAAATGTACAGAAAGTTCATTTGACTATAGTAAAATTCAATACATATAATGAATCTAATATTCAATATAGAATATATAAAAGGTGTAAAAATGATGATATAGTAGAAAACATAAACCTAAAATCTGAAAATAACAGCTAAATATTAGTACTAAGAGACTAAGAGTATTAAGAGCTTAAAGGTTTATAAAAATAAGAACACAATTTAATAATCTTTTTACAAATAAAGATTTAAAGCAACAACAATAAAATACATAAAAGCAAATAAGAATAATTTGAGTTTAGTAACCCAGAGTTTGGAACAAGAGACATTGTGTTAAATTCCAGGAGTAAGTCCCCAAGCAATAGACTTAATTTTCTAAACCTTGGGTTCCCACATACAAAATAGAAACATTAATTTCTAACTCAGTGATTGCTAGGATTAAGTAAGATAATATAAGTAAGAATCCGGCACAGAGTGAGTTGTCAATGAATGATATCTACTATTATAGTGAGGGATGGCTTGCAGATGCCAATACTTAAATTCTGACACAAAGAAATCCATGAAATATGTTAATATGTTAAAGCGTCTAAACAGTGTGTGTAAGTTTATGCAGTAAGTATATGTATATATAACTTAAAATTGTAAAACGGAGTCAAATATTAGCAATCACAGACCAGGACTATTAAAACCTTAAAAGTGTTTAAAGAATAGTGAAATGGACTCTGTGTCTTATCCACTGTACCAAAGGGATTCACATCATAAATTGCCAAGAGATAAACTGAAGTCAACATTCAACTTTAGTACCTCCCCTCCCCATTAATAGGGAGTATTCCTCATGCCTATAGTCAGCTCCTTCCAAATGACACAGATGTCCTCATTTCAGGTTCACTATCGTGTCCTATTACTTGATCAGTCATTTGTTTATTGCCTTTAAATACCTGTATGTGGTTGGCCATTATAGATCATTTCCTGGAAGGACTATCATTGCTAGATGCAATTGCATCTAGAAAAGATAGTCTAGTAGTACTTAGCCCTGTCTGCAAGTTAAAATTGCCTACGGATCTTTAATCAATCAATCAGATAAGCAAAACAAACAAGCCACAGATTGCCAGGCTGTACCACAGGTCAATTATATCAGAATCCCCCCTGTGGATCGAGTCCAGACAATGTTATACCTTAAAACTTCTCAGCTGGTTTTCAACTTGCATTGAGAATCATTGCTTTGTGTTATATGTATGAGCATTTTTTAAGGCCTTTTTATTTTAACATTTGATTTCAGATGAGGTTAACTATTTCTGTTTCTGTGTACCTTTCCTCTCAGGGTTTCTTTGCCCAAATCTGTGTATATTTTCTATATTTTTAGAGTATGGTAGGAAAATATCGCACAGCTCAATTCAATCTTCAAAAAGCCTCAACAAAGTAAATCTAATCTACTACCCATGGTGTCTCTTTTTCCTCAAATAGGCAGAATGAGGACACAAAATAGCTCCAAAATACTATGCCTCTGTTGATCTTTTCACTCTTCTGGCTACATTTATGTGAACTTTGTGGCCCGATTTCAAGTCCTAATTTTATTGAAAACTCTCACCATATGAATTTAATACATGAAAAGAAACATACTTCACTGTTCTTTGTGCAGACTTTAGAAAAATATTGGGGGGTGGAAGAGGAACAGTTTCTTCATGGATATTTATGTCAGTCACAGAAAATGTGGCAAGGAAGATATTTGCTGAACCAGTCAATTCCCATCGAGGCTTAAATATTTATGTGCGTGTGTGTATATACACATACACACACACGCACATAAATATATATATTTCTGAAAGTAAATATGACAACCACTGATGTAACCACAGCTCCAGAGAATGAGGCACAGTAATTTAACTGGATGATTTCAACCTTTTTTTTTAACTTAATCTTTTTCAAGCATAATTTCTAAACAGAAAATGTACAGAGCTGATCAATTTCAAATAGTGGTAGGGCAGTCTCAATTCACTGGCTCCAGGATTTACCTTCTGAATCTTGGCATCCTAAGTTCATCTCACAGCCTTTCCTAACGTTACTATAAGGTATCCTGATACCTTTATGTAACAAAGATTGCAAGCCCCAGCCTTTGTGTAGTGTGTTTTTTTTTTCCTGACTTCTTTTTAAATCATGTGGTATGCATTAAAAAGAATATTTGGACATTATCATAAATTAAATTAGAAAATGAGAAACACTGGAAACAGGGCATCAGCATTTAATGTTTTTCTTTTCTGCATTTTAGCAATTTTTTAAAGCTCCTTCTACTATTCAAATGTGTCCTTAGGACAAAGTCATTTAACATAGTTAAATTGTAGAGAACAAGTCATATGTTCCAAGATATGCTTTTTTTTTTTTCATATAAGCAACTCACACAAGTGCTTGCCAAAGTCACTGGGAAGTTTGAGATGCTAAAAGAGACCATCTCAATATTTTATTTATTTATTTATTTTTAATGTTTATTTACTTTTGAGAGAGAGAGTGTGTGTGGGAAAGGGCAGAGAGAGAGGGAGACACAGGTTGTGAAGCAGGCTCCAGACTCCAAGCTCTCAGCACAGAGCCCCATGCGGGGCTTGAACCCAGGAGTGGTGAGATTATGACCTGAGCCAAAGTCAGACGCTTAACCAACTGAGCTATCCAGGTGCCCCCATCTCAATATTTTCTTAATGCAGGATAGGGGATAATAAATAAATTCCCACCATTACAGCCCCACTGGCCTGGATATGTAAAGCTGAAATCATCTTTTCCTGAACATGGAGAGAAGAAGCAGGAACAATTATGAAGAAAACATCAGTAACACTGAGCAGCTCTTAACAGCAATGCTAGAAAAGAAAACTTAATTTCAATTCTCATAACTATTACAAAGGCTGGCCAGCAAGTACAGTGTTACAAGAGGTATGCCAAACATTTCTTCAAAAGATTAAGATAAAACTGATATTGCTTTAACTGAGCTTCATGTACAGGTAATAAAAATACTTTAAAATACATTAAGTTTACAGTTAAAAACAAGAAAAAAGCTAAGATGCCAATGAAGCAACCCATTTCATGTCTTCTATGTTCTTGCCCATTTCTAAGAATACGTCTTTAGAAAAATGATTTCAAAGTAAATAAAGAAGCTGTTTCAGGAACAAAACATTTAGATTTAATGTTTTCAGAGTATGTGTGCAGTTTTTTCAAACTTAAACGTTGTTTTTTATATATATATATAGTTATATATATATATTTTATAGCTTTGTTATGTACACATTGCATACTATTACAAATTTAAATATTTTAGCTATATTTATGTCAGGATGATAGGACAGGAGTATACGTAGCTTATGAAACTTACTAAGTAAGAGACTATTGCTCACCGGTTGACCTATCTGATAATAACTTCACAAAGGACACTTGATCTACAGATTTAATCTATACTGGAGATTAATTTCATTCATCTTGTTCATGGGCTGGGACTAGAAGAAGGTATATAATTTTTTCCACAATAGATAACCATGGATTTTTATTTCACTCAATCAGAGTCTCTATTGTCCTCACTTAAAAACTTCTACTTAAATATAATATACAGAGAGAAGAATTACATAAATCACAACTATATAATTAATACACATTGTTTTAAAAACTAAATATGCCCATGTATTCAGCATTCTGATTAAGGATATGATAAGGATATTACTTGCAACTGAGACGCACCCACCCCCCATCCTCCTCAGGAATGCCCTAAATATAACTTAAAAGAATGGAAGAGCTTTGTCTGCTTTTTCTGTGTTAAAAATAAAATTATTAAAAAATATTATACAATTTGATGTGTTTTCTTTTGCTCAACATTCAGTTTGTGAGAGTCACCACAATCATTGCTTATAACCGTAGATTTTAAATTCTCATTGCTGTATCATTTTCAATTGAGTGAATTACCACAATTTCCATATTTTACTGTATTTATTCATTTTACTGTGGATGGATGTTGTATCATTTTTCAAAATTAATTAAATCAAGTCAGCATAGAGGATACTCGGTATTATAATAGATCAGTATTGATATTAACAAGTCATTGGTGATTTTAAGTAGCCAAGAAGGGCTATTAAAGTTGGGTGGTGCCTTCTATTCTGGTGCCAGGGTGATCTCAGCTTTCAGATAATTACCCAACTTGTTTTGAGCACTAGCCCATGTGAGCTAACGTGCTCTCATAAGTCCAGTAATGCAAGTGATAACAAACTGGAATGTTTATTCTTATGAATGTTACATTGAATTTCTCCATGTTGCCTACTCATTCTCTCAGTCCACTTCCTTCCAGATTCAGATTAATCTGGAAGAATATTTTCTACTCACCTGCTTTTCCCTTATAGCTTCTATGGGAAATGGCTGCCAGTCTAGGAGCTACTCCACGTAAAGCACCAGAGAAAATGTGCTACTGGACATATTCTTGCTGTTTCACACTGAAAGTCATGAAACAAAAGTGAGCATTTAAACACTTAGACATTCATTCACTTCAGCCAGTAAACCCACTCTCTCCACGCATTCAGAGTCAAACTTTTAAAAATACTTGTCCAAACTTTTGGCTTTTATGTCCTCACTTCTTAGTTTCCCAAACAGAAAAGGATCCCAATTCACCACTTCCCTGAAAATTTGGTCATAGAACAAATTACTATGTCCACCAGTCCCCTCATTCAATAAATCACTAAGCAGGTTTTTTTTTTTAATTTTTTAAATGTTTGATTTTATTTTTGAGAGAAAGAGATAGAGACAGTGTGAGCAGGGGAGGGTCAGAGAGAGAGGGAGACACAGAATCCAAAGCAGGCTCCAGGCTCTGAGCTGGCTGTCAGCACAGAGCCCGATGCAGGGCTCGAACCCACAAACCGTGAGATGATGACCTGAGCCAAAGTTGGATGCTTAACCAACTGAGCCACTCAGGTACCCCAATAAATCACTAAGTATTAATTCGTTGTCATAAATATTTCTGAAATTCATCTGATTTTCACCACGCCCATTCCTGCAGCCTCTGTCTGAGCTACAATTAGTTTTCATCCAGAAAATTTGCAGAGTTGAACTCTTTCATCATTAGGCTAGCTCACTGTCAAACTTATCCACAAAGCAGTGAAAGTGGATTTACAATAATGCAAATCTAAGAGGTCTCACCTTTTTAAGGATTCACTCATCCCCTATTTCCTTTAAAATGAAGTTATCAACCTTTAAATAAGTTAAACAAGGTCCTGCAAGATCTATCTTGAGGACTTCTCTCACCTGCCTTCCTGTATTCCCCTTTTGCACACTATGCATTGGCTACAATAAATATTTTCAGCTCCTTCTGAATACAGTGTGTGTTATTTCCATGAAGGCTCACTCCTCACTTTCTCTTTCAGAATGAAAGTGCCTATTGGTAGCTTCCTCTCCTCTTTAGTATATACGAGTTAAATATCATATCCTAAAAGCATTCTTTCTTGATTATTAAAACTATTTTGCTCTATGTTCAGATTCCTATATTTTCTCTCTCGTAACTTTAATTACATTTTATTGTCACTATTTTTCTAATGGCCATTTTTTTTCTGTGAATTACAAACTCTTTGAAAGCAAAAGTTGATACCATCTACTCTCTACTATATCTCAACAGTTACTACAATTACTGAAATCTAATATACATTTCCGAATGAAAGAGAGGAAAACAGACATTGGCAAGGATTGAGGTCTAGGCAGAGAAGAATGTGCCCAGCTTTAGAACTCACCTCGCAGAAAGGTTTTCTGCACTTTATCACCTGAGAGGTGAAGAATGTCTGGTTGGGGAAGAAGCCAGGTCAGGAGAGCCAAGGTGACTCCTGCTGGAGTCCTGCACATCCTGCACCTGCAGCCTCCCAGGCTCCCTCCTCTATGCAACTTTCCTCAGTGTGTCCTCGGAACGTCTTGCATCAGAATCATATAAGATACTTGTCAACACTCAAAATCTCTGACCTCACTATCTCCCAAATCATATTCTCTGAATAGGACCCTCAAGTCTGAATTTTAAATACAACTTTTGGGTAATAATTATGCACTCTAGCATTGGTCCAAAACAATAAAAGAGGATGCTTATTAAATTTTCTGACCTTAAATAATGAGTTACAGGAAAAAAAAATGGCTTCCACTTAGTTTGAAAAGAAACCGTGTCCTCAAAATGGCCAGGATTTTGTAAACTTTTGGAGGAATCCCTTAAGGGTGAAATAATTGAGGATTACAGTGAATTCTTAAAGACTGAAGTAGTATTACAAAGAGTGGCGTGAAGAAAGATGAGAATAAAAGAAAGTGGAAGAATGAGTTAGAGGAGAAGAAACAAAACTATGAGCAAGTGTTAAGCATTTGGATTATTTTGTCCTAAGCGTTCTCTGTTTTATTTTCCCAGTTTCAGATATATACTATAACTAATATTAAATTCTTAGGAACTACATATTATATATATATTATATGTATTATATATAATATATATATAATACACACACATATATATTATATATAATATATACACATATATAACATATATAATATGTAATATATATGTGTATATATTATATATATATATATCCTCTTACCTCTGTGGAAATATATTTCTTAGGTTTTACCTGGCCCTTGGCTAACTTTCTTGGATTTAATTTATTTATTTATTGAGAGAGAGAGAGAGGGAGAGAGAGAGAGAGCGTGCTAGTGTGAGCAGGGGAGGGGCAGAGAGAGAGGGAGAGAACCCTAAGCACAGAGAATTGGTGCAAAGCATGATGCGGGCTCAGTCCCATGAACCATGGGACCATTCATCAAGAGCCAGCCTCATAACCAACAGAATCATCCAGGTGCCTGCACTTATAATTTATAAAGATAAATGAGTTAACAATTTTTTCATCATATTTGCATGTTACCAATTATCAGTATGAATCCCAAATATACATGCTATATAAGTTTTTCTGAAGGTTTATAAACCAAATATATTAGGAATAGAATTTTTTCATTGTCTTTCTCATTTCACACCACAGCAGGAGCTTTTTGTGCCTCCACACAAGATTGACCTTGCACGGAGAGAACATAAACAAAATTAGGTGACTATTCAAGAAAGCACTTTTTTCCAGTCATCATAGCACTAAAGATCAGCATTTAAGAAATGCCCACTAATTTCCTCAGGTAATTTCACTAAGTCAGCTCCATATTTTAACATGGCATAATCACAAAATAACCCAAAGTTTTATTCTTCCCTATTTTCTTCCCTATTTTCAATGGAAAAGGTAAGAGTGGGTGAACAGTGAATTTTCTAAAGGGAAATAGAACATTATGCTTTAAGCTTGCGTATTCAATCAGTTCCCAGAAACACCAAATAAATGGTAGTGAGGTGGGGGGACGGTCGAGCTCTCTCCCTGGGGGTGACTCTTGAGCACAGAGGGAAAACTGAAGTGACTCATGCTTTGAGCCAGATGATGAATACCTGAGGTGAAAACCTCTGCGTGGTATTTATTTTCCAGCCTTTATGCTGATCTTAAAATTTTTCCAGTTCATGTTCTCCTTAGGACATTCACAGGTCCTGAAATCACTGCAATAGGAAGCCTACACTATTCTTGAGAAATAACTCTTTCAATTACAGAGAATACTAGCCAGTTATGAATATGAGCATATTAATGCAATCAGAGTAACTCAAAATCTAAATGTGAGAAATGAAATGATTAGATTTAAATGACCTTTCTTTCAAATAATCATCAGGAAATGTTTGCAAGAATGTCTGTACATAACTCTAACAACTATGCAAATTCACAAGCATAGAAAGAAAATTTTGAACTCTTCTCTGAATTCTTCAGTGTTTTAAAGCTTTTGTAATCCTGTATTATGTGTTTATTTATTTATTTATTTATTTATTTGCAGTTACTCGGTGTTTATAAAATGTAGGTCAAGGCTTTGACCTGAATTTTCTAGCAAAGCATCCCTATATTCAAGTTAACTTATTTAATTAAATAACTTTTTAAATTACCTTTTATTAGGATTACTATACACATCTGCCCTCTAACTATCTACCTGTCTATCTATCTATCCAACTACCATCTACTTTTCTTTCTACACACACACACACACACACACACGCATACAACCTCTTGAAATCCTAGTCCCAAATGTATTCTTTGTTAACATTTTGCTGTTTAAACTTCCAGTGTTTTTTAAATGCTTTTCATCCTTTAAATTTGTGACTGCATTTTAACTCTACTTAGAAACTCGCTTTAAAACCTTCATTTCCGTATTTCATACATTTACAATCACTTTCAAAGTCCATTCCATATTATAATTTATTTAATCAATCCCCTTATATTAGAATATTTTTTTTCAATTTCTATATACCTTGCTATATAATGGATATATTTATACATAAATTTGTGGATGGGTTTTAAGTCATTTTCTTAGAATAATTCATTGAAGACTGTTTGACATATTATACTAAATTGTCCCTTAAAATGTAACTTCAGGGGTACCTGGGTGGCTCAGTCAGTTAAGGGTCTGACTTCAGCTCAGGTCATGATCTCGCAGTTTGTGGGTTTGAGCCCTGTGTTGGAATCTCTGCTGATAGCTCAGAGCCTGGAGCCTGCTTCAGATTCTGTATCTCCCTCACTCTCTAACCCTCCTCTGCTTACTCTGTTTCCCCCTCTCTCTCTCTTTCAAAAATAAACATTTAAAAAGATGTAACGTCAGTTTGTACTTGCTGCAGCATCCTATATTTCCTTCTAGGCACTGGAAATTAATAAAAATAAACACACACAACTCACACACAATTCTTCCTACATTGTTGAAATTGTGTCTTTCTGTAAAATCACTATTTTAATTTTTGTATGTTTGCATACCAGTAATATAAGCCATCCCATTATTCTCTTTATTTTCCTCTTTATTTCTATTATTAATTTATGTGAAATATAAATTAAAAATCTTCCCATTATCTACTCAGAAGTTTCCAGATATTCATTCCAATTCCTTGTTTGCCTTTGAGTTGTGTGTAATTATTTCCTAAAAATAATTTTTCTATTTTATATAAACAAATCATTGGATCTTCCCCTCTTTCTCTTGACCTTTAAAATGTTCTTTTCCCCTGGAAATTGCATTGATATTAAATAAGTAACTAATAATTCTATTTATGTTTTCTGCTAATCCTTTTATTATTTCATGCAGGGCAGGAGCTGTGAGAGAATGCAGTTAGAAATGCCATTATCCAAAAGTACTTACAGGTAAACACTGATCACCATTGGTCTTAGCATAATCCTTTCTAATGGAATAGGTGCAGATATTTATAGAAATGTCACCATACTTGTCCCAGAGGGGAGCACACAACAATCAAAGAAGTTAGATTTCAGGGAAGGTCAATATAACTCTCAGAATAGCTATCATCACATAAAAAACAAGTCTAATAGAGTTAGTTATTTAGACACAGTAAAAGGATTTAGGATCTAATGGGGTTGGTGGTTCTAAATTACAGTATGGGAGCAACCATTTAACCTCTCTTGTTTCATCTTACTTTGGTAAAGGTATGCACCAGAGAAAACATATCAGGACTTAGAAATGGATTCAGTACAGTGTTAGGAATCCAAGTACTTGGTTATGGTAACCAAGAATAGGTACTGTTCTATTTTCAATATTCATAAAAGAGCTAAGATATCCCTGAATTTATTAGGCATCTAAGAAGATGCTTGTATTAGTCAGGATTCTCCCGAGAAATAGAATAAATAAGGTGTGTGTGTGTGTATGTGTGTGCACGCACATGCACGTACACATGTGCATGTGTATGTGTATATGTGTGTAGAGAGACAGAGAGAGAGAAATTATAAAAAATTAGCTTACATGATTATGAAGGCTGACAAATCCCAACAAATTCAGTAGTAGACAAGCCGGAGAACCAGGAGAGCTGATGGTATAGTTCTAGATCAAAGGCCAGCAGGCTGAAGACACAGGAACAATCAACTTTTTGAGTCTGAGGACAAGAAAAAAACCAACATCCAATTCAAGTATTATGTGCAAGGAAGGCTAATCTGTAAACAGAGTAAATGTTAAGTTCAGTAAGAACAAAAACATGTCCCTTCCATGATGGAAGTGGTCCAATATACTTAAATGGCCATCAGGTATCTGACTCATCACTCTAAAGAATGGTGCCTTATTGAGGACTCAGTGGATTGTGCACTTGGCAGTGGCCATATCCAGGCTAAGCGTGGTGAGCGAAAGTGAAGCCCATGTATCACCTTCATCCCTGCTACAATGGACACTTTATTCATGAGCTTACTGACTGATGATGAAGGTTGGTTAGAAAATGAGGCTGATTTCCAACAAGTTGGTCATTGACTTAATTGTTAAAATTGTCCTCTTGAAGTCATCCTTTGGTGAACATTTTACATGGGACACAATTATCTTCATGTTTCTTGCCTATTAATAGTGGTCTACTAACATTCTCCTTTCTCAAATTTCCTATCAACAATTTTTTAGTCATGTTCCAACCAAGTCTCTGACCACCCGGCCAAACCATTGGCCATAGCACATGAAACAGTATGTGATTGCACAGCTGGCCATTTCTCCTTCTAAGCATAGTGAACAGCCAGTGACACATTTCCAATGTAAAAAGGCATTTAAAAAATAGATGGCTTTGAGTATCTAAATCATTGAAGTTTCACATAAAGGCTTTATACACAATAATCAAAATAGTTTTCTATGGATTTATTCATATTATAAAGTATTTTTTTAAATGTGCATATATATACAATGTGATATGTCAATATTATTTATACTTAAGTGTTTCCTATAACTTTCTTCAAAAATTATAGTAATGATGCCATTGAAAATCTGAAATGTAAAAAAAACAACAAAAATCATTCCATCAATCCAATATACTCCACTTCTTTCCTTTCTCCCTCCTAAATTCACATCCAAACTTCCTAAACATATTTTACACACTACATCTGTAACACCTTCCAGTAACTCTCCATCCTAGAGCAATTTGGCATCTTCCCACAAGAAGTCTCTGAAATTTTTCCTTCCATGAACATCAGTAACTTCTCACCAGTGAACATGCAAAAACAATGTTTTGTTTACTTGACCTCTTAATAGAATTCTATACTTTGTGAACTACCTCTTCCTGAAACTCTGTATTCCCTTATTTTCTATGAAAGAATATTTGCCTGATCTTCTCCCTATGTCTCTTCTCGATTTTATGTCAGGTACCTTACTAAAGTTTGCTTTTTCTTATCGTTGGAGCTCTCCCAACTCTGATTTCCCTTTCAGTCTCACTCACTATAATTTTGTTGGGTGGTATCTTCCATGCTCATTTATACTGATTTCTAACTCTATGTGATTCTTCCATATCTCTAACCAAGATCTTTGTCTTTTTTTTTTTTAAGTTTTTTAAAAAATGTTTTATTTATTTCTGAGAGAGAGAGACAGCATGAGCAGGGGAGGGTCAGAGAAAGAGGGAGACACAGAATCTGAAACAGACTCCAGGCTCTGAGATAGCTGTAAGCACAGAGCCCGACTTGGGGCTCAAACCCATGAACTATGAGATCATGACCTGGGAGCCAAAGTCCAATGCTTAACTAACTGAGCCACCCAGGTGCCCCACCCAGATCTTTGTCTTGAGTTTTATAGATCCCGATACTTCTTTTTTTTTTTTTTTTAATTTTTTTTTAATGTTTTTTATTTATTTCTAGGAGAGAGAGAGAGAGACAGCGTGAGCAGGGGAGGGTCATAGAGAGAGGGAGTCACAGACTGAAACAGGCTCCAGGCTCTGAGCTGGCAGTCAGCACAGAGCCCGACGCGGGGCCCGAACCCACGAACCGTGAGATCATGACCTAAGCGAAAGTCGGACGCTTAACCGACTAAGCCACCCAGGCGCCCCTCCCGATACTTCTTTTAAAAAAATACATTTAGTTAGTTGCTCTAGGGACACCTCAAATTCATTTTTCCAAACTGATGGCATCCGCTCCCTTCTTCTACCTTAACATTCTGTCCAAACCTGTAGTTCTTTCATGTTCCCAGTCTCAGCAAATGACCATTCCCTCAGCTATGTGGATGAGAAAAAATGGCAGTAATTCCTGACTCTTCTTTATCCTTTATGTCCCTTAAGGAAACAAAAACAAACAAAAAAACAAAAAAAACCTTACCTTTTCTTCTCAGCTCATAGTCCTGTCTCAACTGAATCACTGATCCCTTTGACTCCAATCTTACACATTCTAATTCTTACTTCTTCAAAGATCTTCCCCAAATTCAATTTGTTCATGCCATTCAGCATTTTGGTCAGGGAAATGAAAACTAGAAATGATTCTAGGTATTTTAAGCACAAACTTATTTAATAGTGAGAGTCTGGTTGTTCAAGAAAATTTTTACAATGGCTGGAAAAGAAAGATTGGGGAAATCTTGTGCTAACTATAGTATTTTCTTTGCTTTTCCAGAGTCAAGAAAGTTGCAGGAGCCATAGAAAACCACTCACATTGTCAAATCCTCTATCTAATAACCCACCTTCATTTTCCACTGAGCACACTGCTAGTAGTTTTTTAGTAAAGTCATTTCTCAATTTTTTCACATATTCTGTCTCTGCATGAAAACTATTTTCTGAAACCGCAGATTAAGTGAAATTTACTGAAATACTCTTCTCTGAGTCTTCATTCATGGTTTTTCTTACTTCAGGTATACCCAGGACTCTATAATTATCCCCTTAACTGCACTTTTGGTCATATATTGTAGTCTTTTTCCCATTAGTTTTCCCAAAATGGACTTTGTGTCTCTTGACAACAGAATATTTCTTTTCACCATCAATGCCCAGTATCTTGTTTATATAAGGCATTCAATTATTTAGATAATAAGTAAATGAAGTAAATCTAACAATATGTCTTTAGTTTTAATTAATACTATACTATAGTATTAATTTTATAATTAATAAATTATAAAATAAAGTCATTTTATAATTTTTAACGTAAAAACAAGATGTTAGCTAACATTTAGATAATCAATGGAAGTCAGATATTTTTTACACTAACTCCTTAACATATGTCATTTTATGTCTTCATTGCACAACTAATTTAAAAACATCAGACTTGATATTACTTTATATTTATTTTATTAAATTTTTCCCACAAAGCTTCTCTTATACCAAAAGATTGCCAAGGTCTTTGAAAAAAAAGAGTAGATTCACTTTTCTGATTTAATAATTATTTTCTACAGGCTAGCTATTATCTGCAAATTCAATAAGAAAGTTTTCTAAGCCATCATCCTTGATGCTAATGCCGTTATAGTACAAGATAAAACTGGCTGGTCAGGTCCAAGCCCTGGGTGATCTTGCCACATTCCATTTAAATCTTACTTCTGATTTTCAAAAACACATTAATCATTAATCAATCATCAGATTGACAAGACTCCTGCTTGCCTCAACTCTACCTATATGGAGCCCCATGACCCTTAAGCTTTCATATCCACCATTCTTTCTACATCTGTTTCTGTCAAAACAATACATATCACAACATCTGTTGTAAGGGAATCTGCTACAGAATTTACATTCCAAAAAGACAACATATTTGAACTTATGATCATGAATGGTGATGTGTATCCAGAATTCTGTCCCTCTTAATTACAAGTTGAAATATGGATACAATTGGAAGGTTCTCTGATTTTATTCCTTTATGTTTTTTTACTCGTGCTGCTAAGCTGTGAAATCTATCAAGATCCATTTTGTTCTCATCCAAAGTTCCAAACTTTTGTTATTGCTATGGTTTATATATAAAATATATAACTTTAAGACAATTTTTATCTATATGTAACAATGGTTGAACACACTTATTGTTTATGCTGCTTTAGATTTTATTTTTAATATCCACTTTCCTCATTTTTCATTATTTCTTTCTTGTCTGGACTTTTCATTTCATCTTATACTTTGTATTTATTTTCATACATTTTTATACTTTTAAACTGTTCTAGTTAATTTTAGATCTTTTTCTTTTAAGAAGTTTCATTTTATGTTATTAATGTTTTATTTCACCAATTTTCATCTTTCGCTTTCCATAATATTTAAATCATTTCTAATCTGTCACTGAAAAAAATCCCTATTCTGTTTTACTTTTCCTCCTTCCTACCTCTTCATTGTTTTAATGGCTGCCCTCAATTATTTGTATAAACTTTTAAGCAAACATATTTAGGCATTTTACACATAACCACTATTTGAAATTTTTTTCTTTTGTTCATATGTTCCTAAATTTTCCAGACTTTGGGAGATTGTTTTTCTATTTAATATTATATTAATATTATATAATATATATATAATATAATAAATCTGAATATATTCATATAAACTGAAAAAAAAAAAAAACCCTGAATTCCATATTGCTAGCCATAGAGTTATTAGCACAGAGAACTCCAGAGTTCCTCAAGTATGTCTGAGGATGCCAGAGCAGTGCTTTTATCACATTACATTCTATGAAGCCACCTGGGTTGCTATATCAGCGAAGCACACAGGCCCACACTGGACACTGTTTCTAGCTTCTTCAGGCCTTTTGACATTATGGTAATTTCAGTTTGCAACTACCCAACTGGTACTATGTAAACAAAGGGATCCTTCTTTTTATTCATCAAAACAGAACTCAGATCAGCAGTGTCATTTAATAAAGTTTCACTGTGACTGTTTGCCATACGTGTTTACAATTTCATAACTGATTTCTTCCATACGTATGAAATTGATTTAATCTATCTTGAAGCTTAATTTTAGGATAACATAGCAGTTAAATATATAATGAACTATATGTACATATTTACTTGTTTCTGTATCTTGTTCTGCCACTTACTAATTCAGCAACCATACTTAATTATCTAACCCCTCTGTGCCAGAATTTCTTTAATTTTTTTTAAAATTTCTGCTTTATTGAGGTATTGTTGACATAAAATTGTAAGATATTTAAAGT